CAGGCAAAGGTGTGCATGCTACTACTTTGGAAACCTGTGAATTGGAGAATTACTGCTTCATCCATTCAGGAAAAACAAAAATCCAGGCAAGACCACCACCTCCCTATTCCAGAGGTAAAGGACATAGAATTTTCCTGCCTATGCAGTGAGGCAGGTGACTCATGAACCAACTCAATTTTACAGAACCTTTCTAAATAAAGCATATCTCACACTGATATGGGCAGATAATGATTTCCCTCAACCTTCAAAATACTACATTATTAATTATAATTACAACGACAAATCTGACTACTATGGAGAATTAAATACAGTAAATCGGTCCAAGTGGTTCTCACATTTCTAAAGCAAGTCATCTTCCTAAACCTAAGAGAGTGCTGACAAAAGAATTCCTGCAGCTCAACCTACTCTGGCACAATCCTCCTGCAACAGTTGCCAGTCCCCAATCCCTGTTCCCCTTTCTCCACTGCTTTCTGTGTCTGACTCTAAGTAGTGTCAGTGAAAGTAAATAATGTATTTACTATATTCACAGGGAACTAACCACCACTTGCCAGTCAAGGGAGACTCTTGCACATGATGGAGGTGCAATATTACCTTTGCAATTCATCACATTTTTTTCTGATATGCACTTATGTAATACAGGAAACAGGAAAATTAATGAAGAGAAAAAAAGGACAGAACTGTGGAGGGATGAAAGGCAAAGGGCAAACGAAGCATTTATCAAGAAGAAAAAAGAGTAATGAAGTGTGGCCACACCAAGAAAGTTAAAATCGGAGTGAGAAAGACCCGAGAGTGCAAAGCAACAAAAGCCACATAAACCAAATGGGCATGAAAGACCAAAACTATTAGAGAACAGCAGCTCTTTTGCTACTGAGGCATTAATAGTATTCAGAATTATTATAATTTTCTTAAATTTTTTATTCCCACCTCATTTACAAGCAATGGCACATTAAGTTCCAGCGTGGAATTTTGAATTAGTTGCTTGATTTGAAGTAGAACCAGTAATCCATACATCAGTCAGAAAACCTGGTGGTCACACATGCTATTGGTGGTGATCTTTCTCCCAGGCTTTTTACTGTGTTTCAGGCAATCACCGCACAAATACTAAACTTTCCTCTCCCCTGTAGATTAAATGCTGCAACGCAACTGATCAGGAGGAGCAAACCCAGTATATGACAACAAAACACACACAAACAAGTGCTTACTCTAAAATGACTGGAGTATTCTCATGTTCAAAGTTACTCAAAATTGGGAAAACTGATTTATGACCAGTTTGCAAAACTGCATTTGTTCTGTAGTCCAAACACTGTCAGTTCCCTTCTGGAGGACTGCTTGGAGGCAGGCAGGACTTACCTATAAGAACTGGGAAAACTCAATCAAAGGCACGTATCTGGGGCAAAAGCAAATGCCCAGCTTACAATCACATTCACAACATGGGAAAAGACCAAACTAGCAGCAGGACATCCTTTGGGTTGCTCTTTGCCTCCTTGTCATGAGAGAGGCATAGAAAGCACTTCTTTGCTGACTGTCAAGGGTTGCATGGGCCCTTCTTTCCCACCTGCCACCACCACCCATCGTGAAAAGGTGCCTATCTTCAGCACTGCGGCCTGAGGGAGGGAGGAGAGGGATTTTTTTCCACTGAGCTCCTGCCTTCCCCAAGTGTCAAGTGACATCCCCATCAGCTGTCCTGCCTTCCCCAAATGGGGAGGGAAACTCACAGCCTTGTGAAAGGTGACCTACTAGCAGCAGCCCTGCAGTTGGGGTTTGTCCTGCTGAGCACATGGCAGTGCTCCTCCCCCTGTACCCAGTGCCCTCCTGCCCATGCTGACCAGCTGGTTACTGTGGGAGGCTGTCACAGACCCTGCTGAAGTCAGAGTAAATGGCAGTCACTGCTCTCCCCTTGTCCCACTAGGACAGCCAGCTCCTCAAAGCAAGGCTCATGTTGTTCCCAGCACAACTTGTCCTTGGTGAAGCTGTACTGTCTGGTCACTGATGTCACCTTGTCCTTCATGTGCCTCCAAGCCATATTCTGTTTTTTGCTTCTCTGTCCTTGTACCACTAAGCTTGCCAAACAAGCCCTTGGCTCAGGCATAGCACGATGCTCTTGCCAAACCCCTGCCTGATCCCACCACCTGACACATGCTGCTGGCATTCTGCCTCCCTGCCATCCTGGATGAATGAATTTCCTCCCGAAGGCCAGGAGGGCATTTCATCCCATGATTTGCAGCAGGTAACTCTTGGATTCCACTCAGGTCCTTCAAAACTCCTGTAGTGTCACCACAGCTGCATCTATTTTCTTCCACTACTCAACTGCAAATTTATAATCTGAGGTATTGTGACAGAAACTGTCAGATTCCACACTTGGCTCAAAGTAGGCTGGAAAGCTGCTCTTACCTTCATATAGCTCATAAATCTATTTGCGTGAACCTGGAACTGTCACTGCCTTTGCTAACTCATCATCAAGGGAGTTAGAAAAATATTTATAAAATTTACAGCTACTTACAGTCCATAAAATAAAAAACATGACACAGCTTCGATGAGAGAAACTGCAATGGGAAAAGGTCTTGGTTTGATTAAGTGCTTGCTGGGTAACATCTTCAAGTTACAGGATTTCTTGAGTTAGAGAAAGCATTTGCTGATTGCCCTCCTCTTCTTCCCCCCCCCCTTGCTCTTTTCCTCTGAAATAAATGACAAAGGGCAAAAAGGAACAGACTTCCTTGATTTTTTACTTTATTAGTGCTTTTTTACCCTAGGCTTTTTTTATGTAAAAGCAACAGAATTGATTGACAAAATGGCAGAGGATTATTTTTATGCCATTTAGTCTATGAGCAACAGAGATTAACTCCATCTCCTGCCAGAAAGATCCCTGCCCTACAGACAGGGCTAGTTAGATGCAGTCTTAGCTTTGTGTACGTGCTATGTACTGCTGAAGAGTGGTGGGAGCTGGAACATAGCTGGTGACTTTTACAATTTATTAACTTCATCTTTTTCTGGTTTTGGTCAACTTTAAAACATGAGAATTTTGAGGGCGAATTCACATTGTGTAATGCTGTCATAGTCCAATGATGAAAGTGACTACAGACGTTTCATTATTTGATAATTCATAACACAAATGGAGCCTCTTCCACCACCAAGCATTAACTTCTACTTTGCACACATTTTATAGATGAGGTGAACAAGCCACTTTTAGGTTACAACCTCTGTAGCAACAACTCATCTTCAAAAAGAAAGGATAGCTGCTACTACATGACAAAAGAAATGGCTTAAAGTGGCAGTTGTTTTTCACATGGTAACAAACTGGGTATGCAAAAACTCATGCAAATTTTTACTGTACTCTCCATATTTACATACTGAAGATCACAGTAAGTTTTGAGTGCAATGTAAGCGAACCTAGAAACATTATGATAAATCCTTAGGTATAGCTGAGCAAGAGAGAGCTACTGAAAATTTCAGAAGGATCATTCCAAAGAATTCAAATAAGGCACCAAGTACAGGCTACTGCAAACAAATATGAATGACTGATTCAGGCTACCTTAATCAACACACAGACTGAGTTTCCTTGCATATATGACAAGAAGTTTCTCATTGCACATTCTCCAGACACTGCCTTTTTCTCATCATATCCAATTCATGCTGGCTCGTTCCTACCTGTTTTCCTGTGGCTTCTCTAACATTATTTTCTTCCTTCCTGCCATTCTAAACCCCATGAAGTATCTTGCATCACCTGTGCCACATATCTATAAACTTGTAATTGCATTTAATACAATCCTCCTCACAAAGTATGCTTGCCTGGGTAAACCATATCCTATTTTGTGACACTGTTCCTCTCTACCATGGGCTAAAGAGAACAATTTGTGAGACAAGTTTCAGTTTCTAAATCTGCTCACATTCTTCAGACAAGATAGAACTGAGATACTAACCATGAGATCAATGAAAACTCAATACCAGTCACTCAACAAAAGGGCTATTAACTTTCTGGCAGAATTCCAAATTTGTTGCTTTCTACCTGAATTGCCCCTTCATTTCAAATGACTACAGCAGTTAGCACTGCTGTTCAAGATCTTACACAGCATAATATAACCTGATGACACAGAAAGCAGCTGTGGAAGGGGTGAAAACTGTACAGAATTTAGCATGGAGTCTGTACACTTTGCACAGACCATCAGCTTTTTCGAAAAAAACCCACCTTATTTAAAATCTATTTTATTACATTACCAACATGTTAGTGTTTCAAGCTGCTAACAGGTGAAAGCTGATGGAACATTACCGAACCACTCCAAAAATTGCTTTATCTTGAATCTCTGTGAACCACATTTAAAAATGCAAAAAATGCACCTTCAATTACTGTGGTAAACGTAAGAATGGTAACTAAACATGAAGCACTGTGGGTGCCCCTCCACGCTCCAGAGGCACAGTACAGAGTGTTTTAAGTGGGATAAGAAGAGCACTCCCCTGTTATTTGCTTTGATGTAATTTGGTTTATGGAGATCATGAAGTAGATTTCTTTCAGATGAAACTGAACTGGAAAATACACTGCAGGAGCAAATCTAATACATTCCAGGTGCAAATGGGTAGTTATACTCCAAGATTAGACTAAAATTAGTACAAACCAAGTAATTCTGAAATTTGTACAGCACAGATGTCAGCCCCTCCATTTCAACTGTTTTACTGTTTGAATCTGCTCCTACTGAGCTGCACTAGCTGCTACTGCCAACACAGTGGCAAACACACTGATGAGTTAGGGATGTCTTAGGTGTATCCGTTTTATAAAACACTAGTATTCATGACACCACACACCTCTGAAAATTTTTTTAGGCAAGTCCAATCTAATTGCTCTGCTAACAATCACAACGAGAAAATCATCGATACTAGGTTCTTGAAAATCTTTGAGACTTGTACTTCATCTCTGAAACATGAACTGTTGCAACTGTTCATTTTTTTTGCAGTGGAACATCAAATTTAAAGAAGAATTTCCAAGAATTGGCAAGAAATCAGCAATATACCTTATTGCTTCCTCCACAGATTGTCCAACTATATTTGAGGAAGAACCTGGCTGAGACAAAGGTGTCAGGCTTATCACCCATTTCACTGGCTTGTAGTACTCATCACTGGAGCTCAACAGGTAGAACAGTGTGGTCAGAAAAATCACCTGCAAAACAAATTGGAGTTCTAAATCACAAGGCAATAAATACTTGCCAGAATTACAACATGCAGCTGTGCTTCAGATATTGATATTTACTGGTAAGGAACAAGATACTCTTCCATAAGCCTGGATTTAGAGAAACACACGGAGCTAATAGAATAATTTTCTCCCCTGCTCCACAAAGGACTTAACACTTATAGCTAAACATCATAAAACTTCTGTCCCTGTTCAGTCTCTTCCCAAAGTCACATCTACATCGAACAACTAGAACGGTGACCTAGATCTAGAATGTTGATCAACATTCTACTTATGGGTTTCTTTTGGTTCTTTCTCACAGAGTCACAGAATAATAAGAGCTGGAAGGGAGCCTTGAGGATCATCTAGTCCAACTCTTGGCCCTGCACAGGACATCCCTGATAATCACACCATGTGCCTGAGAGCATTGTCCAAACACCTTTTGAACTCTGTCAGGCTTGGGGCTGTGTTGTTCAGCATGTTTAACAGATAAAAAAAATTGCTAAATAGTAACATCTATTGTCATAACAAACAAACAAACAAAACTGCCAAATATACCCCACCTGTCTCAAGAGTCATTATGCAACTGGGTATCAGATATTAATTCCATGAAAACTCACAAACATAAATTTTATGTTCAGCTGGCAACCCTAAGTGAATACTCCTGCGAGTCTGATGAGTCTCAGCAGAAGTGATGGCAGTTCCATTGTTTTAGTTTGAAGACAAAAAAATTAGTCAGATTGGATTAGCTTCCTGTATACTGCAGTCAACTATGTTTCTCTTATTTTCCTGTTAGTGGGCTCAGCAACTTCTTGGGCTAAGTGTACATCGCAGAACTGCATCTGTTTTGAAACAGAATACCTCAAACAAGAAAATCCATTCTGTATGCTCCAAATGTCAACTATGGCTTCTATTTACTTTATCTACAAGACTCAGATATTTTTTTCTTTCTTTCTTCCCAAGATTAAAAAGAATTCTTTCACTTTCCTTATTTCCAGCCTACTTGTATGCTAGAATAAACCACATCTTAATCTTTTCATGAGCCCAACAGCCTGACACCTGCAAACACCTCATGCCCTTTTTCTTCATTCTCTCTGAAGACACTCAGAAAACAAAATGCTAACAGCCAACATGCAGTATTTCTTCACCAATCTCTAGAATGCCCTCCATCTGTCTCTCTTCCTAATTCCTTTATACTCAGTGAAATCTTACTACTACTTCCCCCTACCCTACCTTTCCAGCCTTTAACTTAAAAGTCACACTCAACTGTTCACCTACTATGAGCCCCTTCCAAAAGGTCATATGTTGGTTTAGGCTGTGTTCCATCTTTCCAGGTGTGTAACTTCTGCCCTGGGTGATAAACCAAACTGTCTAACAAAACAAGCCATTACACCAGCACATTTAAACAGAACACTCTTAACATTAATTCTGAGATTTTTAAAAAAAATTTAAAAATACACTTTGCTTTAATGGGAAATAATCCAGTGCTAGTAGCAGTATCAGCTATGTTTTGTTACAGTTTCAAATCAGTAAATCTTAAAACTCCAATCAGATTTTACTGTCTTCTGTAATCCTGCAATTATGGTTATTTTCTCCCTTGATGGGGTCTGCCATTTCTCCTAAGCTACTGAAGTATTTCCTGACTTCACTAAAAAACTCCATACTGAAGCAGAAATCCAGATGGTGTTGTGTCTTCCTTCCACTGAGATCTGCCTACAGATCCTTCTTGCAAGTGCAGTTTTCAACACAGAAAGCAGCATATTGCTCTAAGTACAATATCTGTTCATCCTGACACTCACAAAAGCAAAGTGAAAAACAGTTGTACTGGATCTTGTTTTATTAGGACAGCCTCAGTGAACTTCTGAAGATGTTGCTCTTCGAGAAGAACATGGCAGTCAGGGAATGAACAGATTAACTGCAGCAAACAGACAAAACTTGATTCCCTGTGGTATGAGAAACACGCAGGGTTGACTCCAGACAGGCTCTGAGTAAGAGCTGGGGATTAGTTCAAGCAGCAACATGCACAGTACCTGCACTGACTGGAAAAAGCTGCTCTTCCCCAGCGTTTAAAGGAGAAACTTGCTTTCTTAGGGAGTAACAACACAACATACACATTCCCACCTGAACTCTAAACGCCGAAGTGATGGCTGGGAATGAACATCACTGGAATCAAATGGTGTTAAACTAGGAAAAAGATCCAAACCCAACTCAGTTTCTGCTAAGAGAAGATGGATGTAACCACAGCACCATACGAAACTGACTGAATTATAGAATATCTCCACTTTGAGAAACCAACATAATTGCTTTAGCACAATAGGTACAGATATGCAAAAAGAAGCAGTAGTCACAGAATACAATAATTTATTATAGAATGGCTTGCTGACTCTTCAAACAATAGAATAGCATCAATAGTACATTCCGCAGCAGAATGGTATGTACTATCTTATACCAACTGGAGTCTGAATGTTCTCAGACCTCTTTTACACAGGATATCTGAGATACCTAAATTAGTTCCTAATTCAAGGTCCTGCTGATGACTATGAGGAAGAATTTACCAAAGATAAAACAGTAAGAACTTTCCATAGTTAAACAAATTGATGGATTATTTTTCTTGCTGTAGAATTTGTTCTGTAGCTGAAAACATTAAATACTCTAATTTGAGAGGGGATAGACTGAATTCAAGGCGAAAGCTGTGGGTAAACACTTTATACCAAAATGATAATTCAGCATTTCCATAGCTATCAAAAAAACATATGACCTAATTGCTTGTGCATTGGGTCCACTGACTCAGTAAATATTTTTGTATCTGCCTTTCATATTCAATTTTCTGCTGAAACGCTTTGGGGTGTTTTGTTGGGGCTTTTTTGCTTGTTTGGTGTTTTTTTTTTTGTTTGTTGTGTTTTATAGCATCAAAAATCTGCATATTCCCTGCAGGACTGTAGATGCCCAATCAGCCAAATGAAGCTTTTCTCTTCCAATCTTTGTAACAGAGTATGAGTGGAGTGTGTGTGTGTGCACGTGTGAGTATACGTGTATTTGTGTGTGTATATATATATATATACACACACACACACACACACACACACAAAGGCATATATAAACATCTATGTGCATACGTGTGCAGATAGGAACTTGCATGCAGAAATGAAATAGAAGTGAAACTCCTCAAACTAATGATCAGTTTTCAACTGTTTGTTGAGGACATGAATACAGTATTACTGGAACATGGATGGATACGCTACACAGATTACTTCCCACTGAATATTTGATGGAAGATGTATCTTTCACAATGGAGGTTCTGAACAAAGTGCCCATTATTTCTATGTTTTAAAGCACAAAATTTTAAACCATCATCAAAATAAAAATCACTATCTTAACTTTTATTCAAGATAACTAAAACTGGACTGAAATTTAATCAGTTGAAAAGCTAACCATCTTGTGGGAAAATTTAAATTACTTTATGCCACTTCGAGCTAGCAAAGAACTTTCTAGTAACTGAGAATCTTGCAAAACTAAAAAAAGAGTGTACAGTTAAAGCATCTAGTCTTTAAAAGAATTCCAACACAGCAAAATCCCAACTAGCTCTGCTAAACCAGCTGACTGCACAGTGCCCCAGCAGGAGGCAGGACCCTGCTGACAGGCAAAAGTCAGGAGCATGCAACGAACTTGGTATAAGTCATTAAGCATCTAGAGCTAGATTTTGTGTCTGAGGAAGAGTGCCTTGAAATCATCTGCAATTAGTATCCAAACCTTTAGTATTTTAAGTATGCTAACTTCTCAGACACTGTTTTCAATGTGCCATCACGGGTAAAGTTGTGGACTAAGGAAGAAATAAAATACTCTCATGCAATCTTTTCTTTACTTAACTGAAAATTAACTAGAGAACAATTTGCTGATGTTTCCCTGTCACAATTTTTTCTGCCTTCCAAGCACTGTGGCTTGTTTAGGGGTATGCTTATGAGGACATGCCACAAGATTTCACTAGTTACGTAGGATATCACAAGTTACAGCTTAGTATCTTCAAGGCCAGAAACAAGAGTTTTCCATTAACAGAATGATAGGAAGACTGTCAGCTTTTTAACGTGGGAGTTACACAAATCTTGCCCTCTGCCTAGAATGCCCCCAAACAGATATGGAAGTTAAAAAAATCTTAAAGAACTCTGGTATCAGGTGTGTTCAGAAGATGTTTTCAATGCTTGAGGCTTGATTTTTTATTGCTACATGTGCAATTAGGTTCTGCCAGTAAAACTGACCATGTCAGCCAATGGCATACTACTTACCACTGAAAGCACAAAATTGAGAAGAGCTGTCCCACTGTGGAAGAGGATTGTCACTAATGCTGTAACTGTAGTAAACAAGAGGCTCACATTGCGACTCATCACTATCCACAGGGACTCCAGGATCTGGAAAAGGAGGGAGAACAGAAGACAGAGTCAGGCACTCTATGGTATTAGCTAGGACAGAGAATTGCTTACAGAGTGATTCATCTCCATCAAGCCATACAAAGATGACATTTAAAAAAATAAATCATCTTCCCTCACTCCTGAAGTACAGCAGGTAGTATCAAGAGAAAATGTCTGCTTTAACAAGACAGGTTTCTATGTAGTTGGTTACAAGGTTTTAGCATTTTTCTCCCAATATTCAGAATTATTTCATTATGCAAAGTTGCAAAAAATCTAGATGCCATGACACCTGTTTATTGTGATTAACATCACTGTCAAGCACATATTGTCTTGGGAGAAAAAATTCATCATTTTGAAACCAAAAATACTAGAACACAAAGAACAAAGAGTAACCTCACAAGGTAGAAATATATCTAAAGCTTCACATAAAATAATAAAAGTACTATTTTAATAAATATGCTTTAAAAAGCTTTCACTGTATAAAATGCATAATTATAATGTCTGCAGACAAATGCACAGGTTGTGATTTTGAATAGATATGCATCAGTTAGCCAAGTAATTACGGAAAATAAATCAAGCAACATTAGACAATCTATTAAATTTTGTACTGGCTTTGGGAACTGATTGCTTATTAGTTACAGACACTAAGGAGTAGTTTTGAGACATCAAAAGGAGGCACATGGAAGCATCCTAAATGCAATGCACAGTAGTTTCATAACATGTCCATCCAGAAGGAATACAGTAAGAATGTATTAACCAAAGTGATTAAAACATAGGAAAGAAGCAAAGTTACAAACAAAAAGCCGTATCTTCTTTCAGGCTAACTAATGTAACTGGAAAAAAACCTGTAAAAGCTCTGACACAAAAGCCCTTCTCCAGGTTCAAAGCTGTAAATGAAGGCTTCAAAACTAGCAACAGTTCCTCTTCATTTAACAAATATCAATTAGACTGAATTAAAATGAAAATACACACAAACCCCTAAAACAACAACAATAAAAATCCCAACAAACAGGTAGCTAGTATTTGTAGAGTAGACAACGGAGTGTGAGCCATGTGATTGCCACTCCTTTAGAACTGAGTGAAACAAACCAATGAGAATTCATTAAGCATGAACTTGGGAGGGAGTAAGTGCAGGGGAAAATGACAAAGAATTATAACACAGAAGGATCTACTTAGTTCATGCTTCTCACTACTTAATGGGAATTATCAATGTTAAAGCTCATCTTCTGAAGAGATGTTATTAGTCTGTCTTGAGAATTCAAGTGAGGTTAGAAGTGAAGAGGATGCTCTGCTGAAAAATGTTCTCCCACTGGTACCAGTCCCTTTCCTTCCTCTATGGACTAAGAATTCATTCTGAGGGTGCAGCAGTGGTATAAGTTCATGCAGCTGCCAGGTAACTTTATTAAATGCACATTATATTATGATTACTGTAAACACAGAGGACAGTGATTTTTGAGGGAATGGTTTCTACCTGAAACAGAGACCTTCCCATTGGTATTCCGTAAAAATAGTACTGACATTGCTAGCAGCAGGCCCTAAGCTGTATGCTAACTAGGCAAGGCTCCAGTCCCAGATGTTTAACCCTGTTACTAGAATTTGGCATGTGAACAGAAGCTTGGTGTCACAGGTCTGCTGGTATGATGTGCAGTTTAATCACAGAACAGCAGCAAAGACCTCTGAAACACAAGCAGTTCATTGAGGAAGAAGGCAGTGAAGATGCACACCTTTAAGAGCTCAGAAGACTGCTTCTGCTTTAAGAAAATGAAGTAGCAACTAAAAAGTCAAAAAACAACCCAAACAGGCAAGCAACAGGTTAAGAGACCTGTCATGACCTCAAAACGTAATGCCTCTCCCAAGTGTCACAGCATATATTCCAGGGCAGAGGTCAAGGGGTAGGAGCTGTCCAGCACAAAAACACCTTATAAAAGGACAAGCTCCTCAACTTGAGGAAAGATTATGTCCATTTCAGTTCTAGCTTTCCACATAGAAGAGCTCTTGAACCAGATCATTTTGACTTCTATGACTCAGACCAATAAATGATACCACACAGCATCATCATGACAGTATTCTATCCTCACAGCTCATGTAGGACATGACGGTTTAGGACTGACCACTTTGAATACATAATGGTAATAACTAGGAGACTAATACAAATCCTTAGCATGAAGTATGTTGTTGATGAAAGCTGCTCTAGTGAAGAGAAAAACTTTTAAACTAGCCTGATTTAACAGTCTTCTAAACACTAATCACAGCAATTGTAACTCCCTCCCTTACACACTGTCATTTGCAACACAGAAACTGAGCTGATACTGGTGAGGGTTCACAAGGAGAGGGGTTTGATCCACCTGCTGCAAAAGAGCACACACCTAGTAGGGGCTGGGAAAGTTTCCCCCAGATAAGATGCTCCCTCAGTATAGGCTGCATATGTTTAACACTTTCCCCAGAAGCTTTAGCCTGAGCAGCTATATAGGAGTACACAGCTGCAGGTAGTTTGAATGCAGTTAACAGGTGGTTAAATCAGTATCAGGAATGGTTCTCCTAGAAGAATATCCTTGTCTGGTGGAGTTATTGATTGGGACTGTTAAACTAGTTACCACTAGGATCTGCTTTAAAGTAAGTGCAGTTCAGGTTTGGTATGTCTTATGAAAGCAAGTGCATGTTTTTTAGGACTCGTCTCCAACTACAGAGTAATTCCTCTTTACGCATATGTATCATTAAAATTTCATGATACATGCTTCTCATTGCTAGGATGAGAAGACACAGAGCAGACAGTAATCATTACTGAATACAGTATCAGAATGTGCTCAAATACTTCACTAACACTCACAAAATCAAATTACATGTACCAGCACCTGAGTTCATAATGCTGTTTGATTCCCAGAGCACACTGCAGCTGAGTTGATGAGCTCACTTACTATGCAGAAAATTTCTGACACCTTGCCAGCTGAGGCAAGTTCTTCAAAACACAACTAAGAGTGAATATTTATGCAACAGCCACACTTCAATATTACTGTTATTAAATAACTGATAAACACACCTCTTTCCCCAAAACACAGCTTTGTAAGTAGCCTTAAGGGATCAGAGTTTAAAGAGCTATGAAGCTGTACAGAATTCAGGACTCCCTTATGCATCACACCATGCTATGTCACCATCAGCATCACTTACAGTGCCTTTCCAATCTGTAACAGGCAAGAAATCAAAATTGCACTTACTGTTCTTAGGCATCAAACATGTCACTTTTAAACTGATGAACACCTGAAAAGTAATTCCCTGAGATCTTCAAGTCAACCAACTTCTGGAAGCCAGAATCTATGTACCTACCTTGATCACAGAGATCATTAACAGATGTATAAAGGGAATAATACTGGGCACAAAGAGATATTATGAAAATAATCATCCTTCTGTATACTTCTGATTTTTTTTCTGTTCAGAAAGAATTATCATCCTGGCAACTCAAAAATGACAGCAAGGGAACACATCAATAAACCTTTAAGGTAAGAGACAAGCAATAGACTTTGTGAAGAAAAATACCACAGGCACAAGACCAAAAGCCTCCTGCTCCAATTAACAGCTGATTTCCAAATAAATGTTTACCCATGAAGTTCTGGGCTAACCCTTCAGGGAGGGCTCAACAGACCTTCACACGAAACAGACAGGGAACAGCAACAGAAAAAGGATAATCCTCCAGCATAATTTCTTTCACTTTCTGATTGTAAAGAAATCAACTCCTTCTCTAAAAATATATATCAGGTTGAATTTCACCTATCCTGATAAAAACAACACCCATTATGAAGAAGAAAATATCAAACCCCTAAACATTTACCTTATTAGAAGGAAAAAAAAAAAGGGCAAGCATGCCAGTTGATATACTGCTGAAGAAGGGACTGAATTAAGAAATTATAGTGGTCAGAGAAAATATTAGGATATATAGTAACTCAGTGAAATATTTGAGAAACTGACTTGATTTAGAACACACAGATCAGTCATGCTAAAGGCACAGAAAGAGAAACCTAAGCTGAAGCTTGCTGTGTACATCTCTAATGGAAGGTCTTCTGTCTTCCTGTCTGGGAAATCTCTGAATGAGATACTGGTGGAATGATGAATATTCCTGAGCAAGAAGCCAAAGGATCAATTTAAGGAGACATTAGCAATGTCTCATATACCATCAAGCAAGCTCTGAGTCATCATTCACAGATTTCACCAGCAGCAATTTACTTTTTCAATGCTTCAAGCCTTCAAGAAATGGAGGAAAAGGGTATGGATGGAAAAGAAGGAGAGTGGGGAAACAATGAGGCTTTTTTATTTTTCAGAAATTAAATCTTAATAGTCCAGCTATGTACTGCATATTTCATTCAACTGATAAACCACCTTAGAGTAGAGCACGGGGAGCAAAATACAAGGCATAACTGATGATCCGCTCTTGTTCTCTCCCCAAAGAATAAGACAAAATAAACTCCACTCCAGAAACACATCACTGAATAGACTGGTTTTTAACACTACTGCTTCTAATACTACTGGGAAAAGGCAGCAGTGCTGCTAACACCAAATCTTTTAGAAAAAAAGCAAACTGATGACTTGGAAAAGCTTATCTTCATATTAAATCTTCAGGCAATTTACATGTTTATATAGTGAATCACTTCAAAATAATAAAGGTCTGCCTACATCAAACTCGAGCTAAGCATAACTGCTATAATGAACAGCACATTTTGAGGAGGGTACAGAAGTCTTCCCTGCTTTATCTGATACTCAGAGCTGAAGCACTGAATCAATGCATGTTGTTACAAATTAAATGAACGCCAGTAATTCCCCAGCACAGCTACCCCCGGTGATTTAATTACATGCTTTCAACTCTGATATGAAAGTTTCTTCCACTACAGGAAAAGCCTGAAGTGAAACACTTGCATCTATCTTCTTTTAATGTTTTTCTTACAGCAAATGCTCCTTCTCTTATTAAAGAAGACAAACACTTCCTATGATTTCCGTCAGTGGAATAAAGCTTATCTGCTTCTGGTTGTACCATGGCACTGCCAAATAGCTGTATTTTCAGAGAGTGCAGTCATCTGTACTATTCCAAAATATTTCAGAAAGCCAAGGGGCCAATGAGGCTTGGGAAACGCTACTCTCAATCTATGCATAAGTATTTATTACAAACTAGTATAATCATAGTTTATTCTTTCCTAAAGGTAGAGGAAATCTCACTATAACTGCATATCCACTTCTTTACAGCTATCTCATTGTCTTTCAATTACCTCTGTGTTAAAAACAACTGGCAAAGCTGTCTGGGGACTGTACTGTGTGTCTTGCTATATTCTTAAGAATTGCAGGTTAGCATTGATTTCAAATGTCCAAACACAGAAACATGCTACAGTTTGAATTACAGCTAAACTGTTTAAACATCAACCCCCAACCACATCCCACTCCCTCACCATTGACAACAACAACAACAATTAATAAAAAACAGATAGAATGATAGAACAGCTTGAGTTGGAAGGCACCTTAAAGATCATCTACACCCAATTCCCCTGCTATGGGCAGGGACACCTTCCATTAGACCAGGCTGCTCAAAGCCCCATCCAGCCTGGTCTAAATCCCACCCAAAGACCCACAAAATATGAAAATATCAAACAAAAAACCCTAAACAAAACAAAAACCCCAAACCAAACAAAAACCAAAAAACCCCCCCCACCAAAAATCCAAACCAGACACACAAAAAACATTCCTATCCAGAAGAAAAAAGAAATCCCCACAAAAGCACTCATATCACTTAAAATATTGACCCTTCCCAATTCAGTATGACATTCTAATAACTCATTGTTCCTCTTCAAACTACCAAGAGAAAGATCTTTCATGCTCTGATAAAAACAAACCCTGATTATAGTAAGGTTCCACTGTATCCTAGGGTATGTAAGAGACTTGCTTAGAAACAGCAGACTTAAGTCAAAACTATGCTTATTTTCATCATCTCCGAGTTTTAATGACCAAAACAAGCATAGAAATCAGATATTCATCAATTTAAATTTGAAATATTAGTGTGAGCAATATTCATGCAATGCACAGTAGATGGGCAAGCTAGCAAAGAAAATGCTGCCCAGTAAGGACATGAAATCAGGATTTAGAGCTATACACTATGCCGACTGGTTTACAGTCTGTCATTAAGGACATGACTGTATGGAGAAAAAGACAGGTGTTTCCCCAGAGCTGATGAGTAATGAGTTAGTGGAAATAAACAGGAAAGCAAGTCAATTTCTGGCAGTTTTTTTCCTGAACTTTGAAACCAGAATTTAGAATTACAGCAAGCATGCTAGCTAGATGAAAATTTTAATATTAATGTGTTTCATTCTTAAATATTTATTCTCTTTCCACTTTTTCTCACATTTGTCTAGCCTATTTAGATTACTGAAGCACACTTTTCACCATGGCTTCTGAGCACAGCGCAGCAGTGCTGCAAATGACACAGCTAGCACTTACCATGCAGTTTCTCCACCTGTCCCTCTTGCCTAGAAGGAAACTCCATATTGATTTTAAGTCATGATGCACTGTGCATTTTTACAACTCTGCCTCAAGCATGCATGGCCAATCTTGAGAAATTATTAAGCATGTTTCACTATTAACTGAAAAAAGATGCACTTCAATAAAAAGTTTCTCTCAACTTTTTCTTGTCTCACTTCTTCTATGATAGAAACTGTAATAATTTAATCAGCAGTTGAGGGAGGACAGAAAAAGCACACATGCCCATCAGTCTCAACCAGGAATTGCCTTGAGGCATATACTAGCTTTAATTGCATCCCCTGGACTGTTATGTTGACAGTTAGGTATAAATAATAGCCTTCCAAAATTGAAGATATTTCTAGTTTATGACAACAGTTCAAGTCAAAGATGAACTATATCAGGGATTGACTCTGTATATTAAGGATTTTGGACTTGACATAATTTTTTGTGAAACATAGTTGCTTCAGTCTGGATTGCTTTCAGTGCTTTTTCTTTTTCTCCTTATGAGGTGAAAGGTCCAGTGCATTAATTCAGGAATTCACACTGTGTAAAATATTAATTTCATTCTCCACAGAACTTGCATGAAAGAAGAGAGAAATAAGCTGCTTTCAACCCAATGAATAATTATTTGAGACAACAGAAAAGAAAAAAAAATACATACTTTTTTTGTTTTGTTTTCACAACCTCTCGGTCAATAGTTGCTTCAATTATAACCTAGACAAATTGGTTTCTTTTCTTAAAAAGAAAAGACTACATGATATAAAGCACCGAAAACCAGCTTGCAGGTGACATGGGTAACCCTACAGTAACCATCTCTCTCAGGAAACTATCTGGGAAGCTGGTATCAATGAAGATGCTGAAATCACAAAAGCTTCTTCATCATTACAAGTTCTGTTTGTAGTACCTTAAGCAGGCTTACAATAATTGCTTAGGTAATTGTAAGTAACACTAACAGTGCTTCCCTAATTTTCCATGGACTTGATTCCATAACCTAAGTGGTACTCCAAGGAGGAATTGCTATCAGTTAGAAATTAGACTAATTTTGTAAGAAGCACAGACAATACATACCGAGAGAAATGTTTCAATGTTATCATGAACAAATGATGCAACATCTTGCCAGTCCAGAATATCACCAAGCCAGCTGTTCTGACGGTTTATGTGCCACTTGTGTCCTTTGTGTCTTCCAGAATGTGTTACATTCTTGAAAAGAGAGACAAAGATGTAAAGAAAACAGACATTTGAATCACCTGCAGATATGAGAAAGACAAAGACTAATGTTTTTTTAATGAGGGACAAGATCCAGTATGCATCTAAATACTTAGAGCTGCTTTAATTGGCATTCTTAAAAATATCTGGAAGCACTCTGTCCATGGAAAAATTAAAATCTGACAGAAAACTGTAGTCAATTTTCCCATATAATCACATTTCTGTATATCATACTGATTCACCTCTGTTAAAAATTAATTTTATTGCTTGACTGATACAATGGTATCTAACTTGCACTTAATGAAAGCACACAAGAAAGAAGTAATGATTTCAGTTACTGACTGCATCATTTACAGTTGGCAACATACATGTTTTCCCAGCACAACCCATAAAGTAAAATGCAAGCAAAAGCCCAAACAAGTACTTTTCTCACTACTAGTATCTACCCCTCCATGGACAATGTTCAACCATGTCAAAACTAATAGGATGCACAAAAGACTTCTTCTGACTACATAATTTTGTACACATGACAACAGGACATGGCCATAACCACAACAGCTAATTCCTCAAGTGGCTTCATCCTAATTATGAAGTTGTCTGTTGTTCAAATGAATCACACCTGATTACCATCTAGAATTAGACTACTTGATTCAGTCTCGGACTGTGACAAGTGTTTCAGAGAAGGATGCCAAAATTCTCTGTAAGCAAGTTTAAGCAAACCTGCTGACTACAACAGATCTCATCCTAATCTTTAATAGCAAGACTTCTCAACTTCTCAACTCTGATTTTTATAATAAACATCCCACTACTTCTGTTAGAATTTTCTGAAAACTTTTAACTTTACCAGCCTGCATTCAAAATGACAGCATTTTTTTGCCATGCATGGCAAGTAATATTCCAAGTGAGGTCCCTGCCCTGATTTATCTAAGAGCACTACATTTTCTGCTAATTACCAGTTCTCTCTAGAGGCACTTTACACTTTCTGTGATGCACAGTTAGCAACATTCTTTAACAATCCAGAGCAACACAGAGATCTTCCTTCTGAGCTATCAATTTATTTTGAGCAGAAACAAAACAGAAGTAAAAAAATTCCCTCCAACAGGCCTTTGGTATCTGTAAACTGTATGAAGACCTGTTTTCCATTCATCTAGCTCTATTTTCGAAGTCAGCTCTTGCCATTTTCTGTGATGCACAGTTAGCAACATTCTTTAACAATCCAGAGCAACACAGAGATCTTCCTTCTGAGCTATCAATTTATTTTGAGCAGAAACAAAACAGAAGTAAAAAAATTCCCTCCAACAGGCCTTTGGTATCTGTAAACTGTATGAAGACCTGTTTTCCATTCATCTAGCTCTATTTTCGAAGTCAGCTCTTGCCATGAGTCTGAGTGTTTTCCATTCATCTAGCTCTATTTTCAAAGTCATCTCTTGCCCTGAGTCTGAGTTCATCAGTCACCTACAGACTAGAGCAACACTAACTAGCAGATTTAGGTATCATTTTCAAATTTTGTAGCACTGTTATTGATATATATTTAAAATTCAATGTTATTCAACAACTATACTGCTGTAGCACCTAAGACCTTGGGTGTTGATAACTACAATATTTGAAGGCATTCCTCTTCAACAAATTCCCTAGATCTCAAGAACAAACCAAAACTTCACACCTGAGTGGACTAGGAAGAGGAGATGCTTGTCCTTGAAAAAGACATCTTCACTGCAGAGTTATGCCCTAATCATCCAAACGGTTTGTTATTCTGTTACTATTTTACTTCACCGGGTACACAGATGTGATGGTAACTAACCCATCACAACATCTCTAGAACCTTTTAAAATATACACCACTTGCTATCTAATGATCTTCTCAGGAAGTGGCAGTTAGTGGTTGAATCCACATCTTATCAGCAATTCTTCCTCAATTCTACAGCTTTCATGGAAGAGTATCCCCTGAGTCTGAGTTCATCAGTCACCTACAGACTAGAGCAACACTAAGCAGACCTTAAAATGAAGCATAATTGTTATGCTCACACAACTGAACTAGTGGGGAGTTTGAAAGCTATCCTGAGAGTTAGATAAGGTACCATGTCCTCCACACTGCACTGTCAGCTACTTTACCAGTTTCCATATACACTTAAAGACCACTCAAGGCTATTGTAATCTTACAGAAGGACATAGCCAGGCAGAAGGCACTTGTGTGGGACATTTACATGGACATGCTAGAGAAGGAGCAAGACTAGAAACAGACTCTGGAAGAGTTACCTGCAGCCTGCAGATCATTGGTTGCAGCCCAGCATGCTGTTGATAACATGCATAGGGTGACTAGTATATAAACAGCAGCCAGAGGAGTAACAGACTTGAAGATTGCAGGCAGTGAGCATCAGTTCATTCCTGAAGCTCTTTGGACCATTTTAACTGCCAGGAAAGCTGTCTCTTACCCTACCAGAAGAGAATCTATTGGTGGGGTAAGAAAGAAGCCGCAGAGTATTTCCTCAAATAACGGATGTGGGAAAGAATTCCCACAACACAACAAACACAGGCACAACCTGTGCTGCATATTGCAGCAACAAAAGCACTCCTACAGCACAGGCAGTGCCACAGAGCTCTATGGTGCAAGGCACAACCTGTGCTGCATATTGCAGCAACAAAAGCACTCCTACAGCACAGGCAGTGCCACAGAGCTCTACTGAATGGTGCAAGGCTATGAACCACCTGAAATATACCTTAGATTAGTAAAAGCAACAGGTTTATCAGTGTAACTGTATCAAAAGTAAGTGCTTTTCTTGGTCAGTCATTTAACACTGAATGCTCTCAAGTGCTTAAGGCCATCAAAATCTATTTCACAGTTTTTCTTTCTCCTCCATGGTGCTATACTCCTCAACAGCATCATGTTATCTCTCAACAGGCCCTTCTACTATCTTGTCAGAAACAGATTTTTTTTCCCCTTCAATTTTGACTAGCATAGTGAAACTCTTAACTTCTTTCAACACAGAGGTCCTCTTGGAACTTTAGAGGTCCTCAACATATGACTGCATAAAGAAAAGTGTTAATATATTATAATCACAGTTATTCAAATACACAGGAATATTTCAGGGGTATGACTTCTGGATTTTGCTATTTCCATTGCAGCATGGCTAATAAATTGCTTTTTCCTTTTAAAGGCAAACAGCATAAGCAGGATAAAAATGATCTCTTATGAACTTTTCAAGATTCAATGTACAGAACTTGTTAGAAGATGGATCATACAGTCAGCAAAAATGCATTGTAACAAACCTAGTGAAAGGACAATTATCTTTCTCACAATTTCAAATTAAAAGTTACATAAATCATGCCAAATGTAAGTTTACTTTTCCTAACACCTCAACAACACAAAAATTCAACAGAAAACTTTAAGCTACAAAATAATAAATATAAAAAGTGAGAAAAGCATAAATTAAATGGCATAAGTGAAGGACATAGCTCTAGATGTACTCAAAGAAATTGTGACTGTAGAATCATCTTATATACTGGAAAATTTTCACCAACTTTTATCACTATGACCCTTACACTCAGCATTCCAACTTTCTGCTAATCTCTTTCTCAGAAATGCACACTTAGCATAATTATCTCAGAGCACTAACTGATAGTTCATACGAATACCATTTAGATAAGTTACCCACCTTCACAAACCAAGAGTGATAAAGCCTGTCCCAGAGCTCTAGCACTTGCTTCTCAATCACAGCAGTGTTATTCACTTTTTCTCCTAAAATCTTATGGAGCTAAAACAAAGAAATATTTTATTAGACAGGGCAGAATGAAGCATGCACCTACAGATGAACCCCAAGCTCCATGAATTGCGTAAGTGTCAGTAAAGGCATGGCTCAAACCCAAACTATTAGAAAATATGAGTCTCAGTATAAAATACACACTTCAGACAACACAATTCACAATATGAAGACTTTGTCTGTTGAAAAACATTCTGCTGCACTAAGCTGAGGATTTCTTTCTGCACTGAAAAACCAAAGCTGCCCCTAAAATGCTTCACTCAACAGCCTTGATCATATCTTTAGAGAAAATATTTCAAAATAATTTGAAATGTGTGTGAGATACCAGAATATATGTATATGAACATTGGCAAATTCTCCTGAAGAAAGTTAGGTTAACTAAATAAATTCTGATTTAAAAAAATATCCAATCTACCAGAACCAGCCCCTATAGAAATCAGAATACAGGGGGAGTGGGAGGGGTGGTGGTAATAAAAATGTCTACACTGTCTATAATTGGACAGCTAAAGCCAGGTAAAAAAAAAATTACTCAGTTTTATTTGCTGCATTTTCACTGGCAATGATTAAAATGATGACAGATTCTTCAGCTCTTAAAAATAAATAATCCTCTGAGCAGAAAGACTCCTGAAATCACTCCCACTCCTCCTCCAACTCACAAACCAGAGAGTGGAAAGAATAGATCTGTCAACAAAACCATTAACCAGACAGAAAAGAACTACTGGCAATTATATTTTTATTTCTTTTTTACTTTTAGGAAATACAAGAAATGGGAAAAAAAAGTTTCAAAAGTTTTTGAAGAGCTCACTCTTACCTTATGTGTAATCCATTCTCGGCCATATTGGTACACATTATTGGCTGCTGAGTTGAGTGCCTTCTGGATAACCTGTGCTTCTGGGAGCCAGCTAGGGTTTTTTTAAAACAAGGAAAACAAAGTTAACTGCTATATATTTTACCCATTTCATTACAACCAAAACATATTGCAAATTAACATTCTGAAACAACAACAAATCATTATGGTTAAATACATATAAACTTACAACAACTAGAATATTTCTTTCTACATATCAAGGAACAGATTTTCTCAGGAGCGAAGCACAGTTAAATCTAGGGCATGTCATTACATTTGAATTCTCCAAGTATCCTGAAACCTTCATTAAACTGATATCTCAACTTTTTCAAAAGAGATCTGCGCATCAGTCTGTATGTGTGCTATTCGCACTACACATTCTTAGCAATTTTGCTAGTATTGTAGTTTTCTGAGAACACTATATGAAGCAGACTCACCTAGCTGCAAACACAACCTTCTGAATTAAAAGCCGAATGTAAAGTGCTAACATAGTTCCCCTGAAAAAGCAACCAGTTGAAACAAAAGGTTTGGACACCAGTTATTTCTAAGTCCTCACCAAACTACCTGCTTAGGAATGTCTTCGGGGATTCACATCCCTTTCAAGCAGCGGACCCTACTGAGCTGTCAGCATCTCAACACTTGTGAATACAGGGCAATCTCTGCTTTGACGTTTTCTTTTTAATCTTGATTCAATGGCACTCGTTGGAGGCCTTTCAGAACAAATAAAAAAAGCATTTGGGAAATAAAACTGCTACATTTGTTCACCTGACTGAAGATCAACATGAAAGCTCTTTTGTCTGTATAATCCTTCAGAAATGTTCTGGAATTCCAAGACATTTCCGTCACCTCTAAATGTAATGAGAATCAAGTTCTAAAACCTGGTGAAGCTTGATGGATTCAGCAAGATGTACACTTACTGTTAACAAACTAAAATATAGTGGTTTGGATGCTTCAAATTTGTATGCAAACACTGGAAGTAAAAATTTAAGCTAAAATTCTGCTAATTACTCAACTAATACTCCAGTATTTTCAATACATGAATAAATAAGCTTCTGACAGCCAAATTTCCATTAGTCTCACTTATTCCTGTTTTATGGCAAAATGGAAAGGTCAAACAAGACAAGAGACGTCATGAAGGAATAAAACACATTTTAAGTGCTTTATGATCTCTTGATTGTGATTCCTTCAGTAGTGCTGAAACACATGTTATTATACTGGTTATTAACTATATCTACTTAGTTCTATTTTTGAAAAATTATTTTTGCTCTCATAACACAGCATGCACTTTCTTTCAATCCTGTTAAACCACTATTACTTCTGTTTAGAATGTGCCCCTTAAAAAGTCAACCACTCTTGTCCAGGATACAATTCTTCTGGTATCCATTGGTATCTCACCTTTACTCAATGTCTGTTTAGCTGAAGCAGAACAAAAGCAAACTGGAACATGCTGGAACTCACTCTTCAGTCTTACCCGTTTCCCCCCCGGTGCTGATGCAATCACTTCTTTGCTCACCAGTGTGCACTCAGTCTTCTCTAGATGCATCTCTCTCTAAACCTTCTCTCTCCCTTAATATTTGCCTTGGTGTTTGCTTTAATCATTACACAGACTAAATCTTACAAACTTCCCACTGTGTACACTATACATATCTACTCTTAATAGGAACAGCCCTTCCCAACTGATTCATACCAAACTCTTCCCATCCACCATTATTTCCACCCTTAAACCCTTCTTCAGTTCACTCCAAAAACATTGTCTTCAGCTCCTGTTCCCTCAAAGGCATTCTGCAGGCAGCTCTCCACATTGAGAAAACAATTCAGCTCTCACCTTGCAATCTTCTAGAGAGAGCATTGTTTGCCAGTACTGTTCTTTCACAGGTCAAAGGGAGAGAATACTGACTTCTTTATTCTCTACAGTACACAAGCTTTTTCTCCATAACTGGAACTAGAGAAGCTCATATAGCTGTCCTTCTCCACCAAAATCCAACCAGTCCTCAAAGGAGATACAACACAGACATTCCTCCAGAGTAATGCATAAACACTCCTGCTGCCAGAGAGTTTAGCATTTACACCTGCCTGCAAGAGTCACCCCCACTTCTGTACATCTAGGAGATTTTTTAAAGTTAAAAACTATGCACAGGAGCACCTGGAAGTTTGTTCCTCCACCCTATACTATTCGCTTAACTTTAGCATTCTTACTTTGCCCATTCTGGGTGACTGGCTACTGTCTCATTGATCAAGCTGCTTGTGACTTGAATCATGTGAACGCTCTCTTGATGTACCTAAAATAAATATAGAGAGGAGAAAGGATATGTAATGCAAACTACAACTCTTCCTACATTCAAACAGACTTGTTTTTTATCCCCTTTTTGGGGGGCCGCAGGAGGTCGGGAGGAGGAGGGTGGGCAAGGGGGACACTGAACAGTTTGTACATTTGAAGAATAATTCTTCCAATGCAAACAACCCACCATGAAGAATGAAATGCCATTAACCCCCAAAACCCAGACAATATAATAATCATCAGGCTGTTCTGACAAATTTGGTCACTAGTAACAGCAAATAGAAACTTAAACCTTATTGCATCAATAGAAAAAAATTTAACAACACAGCAGTGCTGTCAAGGGAAGTACCAAAATACAAAGCACAGTTTTAGATATACCTTTTTAGGCCATGGATCAAAGAAGTGCAAAAATTAATGAATACTTAGCTCTAACATGACCAGCCATGCTATGAAGTGCCTCTCCAAATTAATTCTTCAACAAGAATGATAAAAGACACCTTTTATAGATACCTTAATGGTCCTTGTATGAATACAGGGAAGCTTTAGGCAGGAATGTTTGCATAACTTTTAAAGCTTTCAACATTATATAAGTATGCCTACATTTTGGAAAAAGGAGATTGACATCAGAACCTATTGATTTTTTGTTCCGTAAGTGTATTCGAGTCAAACATCCAATCTCCATTGACTGTTTCTGGTATGAACACAGCTCCTTTAAGGAGGGGAAAAAAAAAACAACCCAGGAAAAGATAGAAGAAAAAAGCACACGAGTGACCTCTGCTGGTGAGCAAAAAAAATCCTTAACCACAAACCCAAAATCAATTTCAGAGAACATCTGATCATGAATCTCACCACATTTAACTCAGAACAGGATACCATGAGGTTATGACAGGCAATTACACAAATTAACAAACACCTTATGCATTTTTCAAATGTTCCTGATGCAAGGCAAATTAAAAAGGAAAAAACCTTAGTGGCCCTGCTGCTGACAAGTGTAACAGGATGCAAAACCATAATACATACGTTAGTAATTCTTTAGAATAAATTTTGTATTTCCAAATGTCATATATTAAGTGTATCCTATATATGAATAAAATTATAAATAAATATAAATATTGATATTTTTGCATATTTTACAGTCTTGGAATGGTGACAAGTTCAACTGCAGAGCATATAGTTACTACATAATTCAAAAATTCTTTAAGCTATACAATACATTATAAATATCAGTAACTTTCATCAGCATTTAAAATGTACTCTATGATTACATTCATTAGTGCACTGTACCTTTGCAGTAAGGAGCAGAGCTAGCAGGAGGGTTCCTATCACTAGCAAAAATATTATGAAAATGCTGATTATTTTATCTAGCATTTTCTCCAACCACACGATAATCTGTGCAGAAAAAAAGAAAGAGAACAAATTATAGCCTATAAATCAGCCTTTAATGAAAGCAACGCTATGTGCTATAAAACAGTATTGTAATTTTTATTTACAATCACAGTACGAAATCAGGCTCTAATCAAACAGCACTTATGCCCAAGCTTGGAGATGAACAATGAACAAGCAATGTTAGCATGATTAAGTCATGATATGACATGATTTTGCAAGAAACGTACACATTACCACACGACATGGCAAGCTCTCTGCAAAGCAAGCAATAATTCAACAGTTACTTACTAGACCAAGAAGCTAGCATTCATGTCAGCTAGAACCTACGAATTTGTCTTTGTTTCTTGTCCTTCAGCAGCTTGGAAACTTACAGATACTGTCGGCACAGGACTTCAAAGCTATCAAGGTATGCTGTAAAGCACAACCATACCTTTTGGATTTGAACAGCTAAGAGGCATCTAAATGAAAAATGAGGCATTTTTGCAAGTAATAAAATTTTTAAAGCTGCTCATCACCTTCTGAACTGAAATGGGATGTGGGGGTTCTACATTATTGAATATCAGACCAATTATTCAGCACTAAGTATTTCTATTCGCTCCCAATCTCAAAAGGATGCTCAGCATTAAGCACGGATCAGCTAAACCTACGGATACAGGAAACAGGTGTCTATGTCGTTCTGCCAGTTTAGGAAAAGGCCCATCCTACACATGTCCACAAATAGTGATGCCACTTAAGGTTAGAGAAATTCTGATAATGTCATTCCAAACAGTAAAACAGCTCAGCCACACGACTATGCAGAGTGCTCTAGAACAGTGCAAGCTGAGCTGAATCTCATTCACAAACTCAATGTTTAGATAAAAAGCTGTGAAAGCACATGCATCTATAACCAAATACATTTTTCTAGTTCCCATGGCTCAAATACCAAGGCTATTTCTACTCTATCTGGCATTACTGCAGGAAAAAGCAGCAACACCAGCACGACTGTAGAATTCGAGCTTTAAGAGAACTAAGGTCAAAACCAATATGTGGTAGACTAATATACTTTTAAGTGAGTACAAGTTACCTAATCAATGATTAAGCTGGTAACTTTTTACTTAGAGATCTTGCAAAACTACTAATATGTGTGCTGATGATTTACACT